GAGAGAGTGTCTGTAGTTTGTGTCTGTGCACCCTTATTGTAGCACCCGCAGAGGCCGCAGATGGCAGAGGATTCAGAAGGCTCAGGAGGCTCAGACAGTAGGTAGAAGGCGGATGTGCTCCACAAACACCAGACGGCCCTACCATCATCGAACCAACACGGCATCCTTCCAGAAGCCGATCCTCCATCAACGGCTAACCCACTATCTCAGCGACCGTACAATACATTGTAGTAGAGTACGATGGAGACCAGAGGGCCAGGACCACCAAAAGCAACAAGGCCCCCTCCCCCCCAAAAGAAGAAAGAAAAACCGCCGCAATCGATCAATCTCGATGGCCGGGATCTTCCCCCTTCTACGTCCCGCAGGCCCGGGTAAGTTTACATACACTTGTGCTGTTGTCGATGCGGTGTGTCGCAGACAGGGCCCGCCGCTCCATACGCGCTAAAAAAAATGCCAGTGTCTGTGTCTGTGCCTGTGGACCTGGACCTGTGCTTGTACCTGTACCTGTGCCTTGATGAGCTGTACTAATGGTTATGGTTCTGGTTTATGGTCAAGTGATGATGGGGGCTCTGAAACAGGCGGAGGGTGAAAGGTGGGGAGTGAGCCTGTAGGCTATGGAATGTAGGTAGGTAGACAGGGTGTGCGGAACGGATGAGGGATTGTAGGGGATGCAGATGATTGGCACACGTGTGTGTTGTTGTTGTTGTTGTTGTGATGGGGCCTTGCTCAAGGAGTGGGCTGTTGGTGTTGGTGTTGGTGTTGGTGCTGGTGCTTGCTGGCCGCGTGGGAAGGGAAGCAAGGGAACTTTTTTTTTCTAGTGAGTGGATTCTATTTTGGTACTAGGCGTTAGGCAGGTACTGTATGTAGGTAAGTTCTGGTACTCGTATTCGTATCCTCTGCTTAGAGTAGTATGGTGATTATATGTATGTACATATAGGTACGTATACATATCGTAGGTACAAGTACTCTTCTCAAGTTCATGGATCAAGGAACATACATAACACAGTGAGTGTAAGGGTAGGGTAGGGCCCGGGAAGAGGCCTGGGATGCCCTACCTACCCGCATTGACATCCAATCCTCCCGCCTCGTACGGAACCCATCATTGTAAGAGTATGTACATACACAGTACACAAAAGAACGTCGGCGAGGCAGGCAAGCAAAGTGGGCGCTCGTTTGACTCTCGGATAGGTGAGCGAGGGCAGTTTGGTGCTAGGGCCCAGACGTGAGGATGAGCGTGGAGAGGGCGACGTCTTGCGTCTCTAGGCGGCGTCATTAGCTGCAGCGGTGCCATCTCGATCAAACGAATATGCAGCCGCCCCAGGTGTCCATCCGTCGGTCCAATCCTGCTGAGCTCACTCACACACTCCCACACGTTGGACACGAGGGTCGGTTGTCTGAGCGCTGGGGTCTGGCTTTTTCTTATACTTCCATGGTGGCTTTGCTTGCGAGACTATGTACTCTGTTATTCACCACGCCCCCCATCATCCTACCCATCTCTCTGACTCGGATCGACGAACTGGTAGGAAACTACTGCGCACACACTCTCACTCACCCACACACATATACACGCATTCTCTCTTTCTTTCTTTCTTTCTTTCTTTTTCTCTCATACACACACACATACACACTCGTCACCTACCCTATTCAACCGTGAAGCTCGACACACATCCACCACCATCTACATCCCATACCGGTACTCTGTCCTAAGGGGAAAAGGCTTTGACACACAACCTGGTCACAGCGTGCCGTATCTTATACTCTACTACCGAGTAAGAGCCTACGTCTCAGCTAAACATAACTCACCACCCATCCTCACCCATCGTCGCCCACCCACGCACATGGTCTACGATCCAACCAACGCCGCCATTGCAGCTTTCTCTGCCCCTGGAACAGATTCGACCAAGCCAACAGGATGAGGGCCAGAGCCAGAGGAAGTAGCACGCTGCCTCTGCAGCAGGCCGAATTCGACGCCCTACCCTATTCAGTCCAGTACGTCTTCCTTCTGTGTTTTCCTGCGCGTCTGATTTGCCCGCCCTACTTCTGTGTTGTCTGGTGTGTGATAGGGGCGCGTTATCGCGTGCATGTCCCGATAGCCTCTCGCCTCTCTCTCCCATCTCTCTCCCCCTCCACCCCACTTCTCACCCAACCCCACACACACACACACCCACACACACCCACACCCACACCCACACACACACACAGCAACTCACACCCACGACTGAAGACTGGCCACCGTAACCTGTACCTTGCAGTAGTTCCAGTACCAAGCACATAGGCTGCAACGAACGGATATGGGCTTCATGCTAACCACCCTGCCGCTGCAGGAGAAAGTACTTTTCATCCCTGGAACGCCTGCAGATCCAGCACCAGGCTACTCAGGCCGCCGCCGCCGCTGCTGCTGCTGCTACTGCTGACGAGCCCACTACTTCTGGCCGTTCCTCGCGGGCCAGCTCGTCCACCCCATTCCGCCCTCCAGTCACTCTCTCGATACGACACCGACGACACCGACGACAGAAGTCGGCCAGACTCGCCTCTTCATCTGCCTCTGCGTCTGTGCCCCCTTGTACTTCTGCTTCTGCCTCTGCTCTTAGCTTTGCCTCTGCATCTGCATTTGCCTCTGCCTCTGCTGCCGACATTCTCTTCTATCTTTCACTCCCTGAAAAGGTGCGGAAACAGCACTTTTCGCGGGAAGAACAGTTGTTCCTGCAGCAATTCGCCAAATCCAAACATTCGTTCCCCCAAGACGAACACGAGGCTGAGCGGGCCCAACAACGCTTCGCCGACTTTCACTTTGACTTCACCCAAACACTATCATCATCATCCTCGTCTTCGTCGTCGTCACCCTGCCCTCCTGCTGCCGATCGAGGACGCTCTCGACGGCCATCGACTGCCTCGGCGTCTTCCACCATTAGCCGCAGCTCCAGTCGCTCTTCATTCTACCTCCCTATTGAGAAAAAGAAGCATCACCGCCGGGCCAGCAGCCTTGCACACCTCGACATGATGAACACGCCCAGCTTCGCCACCAAAGATTCCCCCCCTTTTAGACGGACCATGTCACTCACCGCTGCCTCCTTTCGTCATCCATCTTCGGCTTCTCCCACCATGTTCATCGCAGACCCGCCATCACCGTTCGCCTTCGGTCCGAACGCACGACATCAGCGTGCACACTCCTCAACCCTGTCCCTCGCAGGGCTAAGATTTTCACAGGCCCCAACACCGCCCCTCTTCGACCCTGAAGCTACCCACTACCAGGATCCAGAGGCACGGAAGAAACTGCGCATGTACTTGGCCTCGCCGCAAAAGTTTGATGAAGCGATTGAGTTTGGCTTTCCTTCAACTACCGGCAACGACTCACCAGGTCCGCACTACCAGCTTCCGCAGATTGACAACCACGCGAGGAAGTTTAGCAGAGACATGCATACCTTTTTGCGAGACGGCAAACTCTCGTTCCTCGAGGATAGCACCTCGACCGACAATCAGGGTCTCGAGTCGTCCGACTGCGACTCGGTAGCCGACCTCGACTCGCCCGCCACGCCTTGCAGCACAGGACTCTCGTTCCGTCTGCACTCGCGCCAGCTCTCGCATGGCAAGTTTCCGATCGATTCACCCATGGCCTCACCTGCCCTCTCCGGGGCCGGCCAGATGAACCGAGAGATGACGCTCCGGATGACGCTGACTCGGCCCGATCTACGCGCCGATGAGGACCAATTGTACGGCTGGCAGCAGCAGGGCTCGTCCAGTCCAAAGTCGACGTCTGTCAAGGACGATCCGCTCGCGCTCGAAGATCTGGTGTTCACGGACGATAACACTGGTGCCAAGGGCGCCTTTTATGTTAAACCCAAGCCTCGCGGTAACCTTGTTTCTCGTATCTTGAAGCGCGCGAGTCTAAAGACCAAGTGAAACGTCCGTCTTTTTCTTCTCGACATTTTTTTTTGACTCTCCACCGTGGAGTCCCTTCATGACTCTGTCAGGCCACCATGTTATACATCGCCAACCAAAGCGCGCTACCAGCGGAACAGGCGGAAGAGAGACTGTTATTCTCTCTCTTCCTTGGCCACGGAACTTTTTTCTTTACTTCTCTCACACGCTCATACATTAGGCTGCTGTGTTTCTCCAGCCTGGGCGTTTTCTCCTTGTTTTCTTTCCAGTCTCTCTTCGTCATCATTCCTCTTCTTTCCTTTCTTTCCCGTCGTCTCCTCCCCCCCACACCAAAACTACCAGCCAACAGGCTTAATCCTCGGGACCAGAGAGCAACCAAAACCCATGTAGATGTACGATATGATGACCGATGGTATGAAAAATAGCAAGCGAATCTGGCAGAGCGAGCGAGCTGGCGTTGGATAGCATGTTTTCTTCTTCTTGCCTTTTTTTTTACAGATTTTTATAGTGATTTGGTTCATCAAAGTGATGCGGATTCATCGACTTGAATGCGGAAGATGAAGATGAAGATGTAGATGCAGAGGAAAATGCACGACGTACTAGGTCTTGCATCTAGGTGGGGATAGGTTGCTTGCGCCGCAAGCCGTGGATGTGCAGGAGAAATGCGTAACAGACACATATACGCACGCATAGTCATGTGAGAGGTGTAGTGCCATGTAATACCATATAATACACTATACTACCAAACTGTAAACCAAGCTCCCCAAACCCAGATTTCTGGCATTGCAATGGGCGTTGAGATGTGTAGTGTTTTTGTGCTACTTTTCTTGCTCTATTTGTTCTACGTACACTGGATGCGTCTATTGCATGCTAGACTACTCGTACCATCTACTTTACATCTCATATATCCTTTCGATTAGCAATAACACTAGAAACCCAACCCTTCACAGCCTCCCCAGCCTCTACAGGTCCTCCATAGCCTCGACAATGTTCCCTCCCTGATGCACCATGTATTTGTCATCTGTTTACATGTGTCTTGACTTGTTTACAGATATTTCATGATTTGTAGTTTATAGTTTATACTGGATATGTTATATCGTTCTAAACTACTCTCCCTTCTTCTTTTGCTTTGCTTTGCTTTGCTTTACTTTGTTGGATGTTCTTATTCCTGCTTCGTTGATTTCCCTACCTTTCTTTACCTGAGACATCAAGATGGGGGAGTACATTGATTGGATCAGACGTGCACGACACAGCACAGCACGACACGACAAAAGACAGTCCTCACACCAATAGCTTTTCATTACCTCATTGGCCACCAATCCTCTCATTTCAGGATCGCTGGTCGGTCAACAAGACGACAAACTACCAACTCTGTCCTACCTCGAAAGCGCAATATCGTCGATCCGCAAAATCATCTTGACCGTCTCCGCCGCCAACTCAATCGCACTCGTACTGACCAACAACGGCTGCAGCACATTTTCCTCGCTAATGTCATTCTTCACACCGCCACTTTTGATGCTAATGCCTGCATTCTTCTGATCCTGCGCGTGTCGATGCCTCAGCTCCGTGACCACCTTAATGCTGTTGAGCCCCGCATTCTCCGCCAGCGTCGTGGGAATGACTTCCATCGCGTCTGCAAACGCCTTCCAGCAGATGGCTTCTGTGCCGGAGAGTTCGCGCGCGCGCAGCGAGAGCTGGTGTGCGATTTCGATTTCTGGGGCCCCGCCACCGGCCAGTAGGGCCTTCTTCTTGACGAGCGAACGGATGGCGCAGTGGGCGTCGTGCAGCGAGCGCTCCGTCTCGTCGAGAATGAGGTTGTTGGCGCCGCGGCAGACAATGGAGACGGTGTTCACGCTGGACTTGACGCCAGAAACCTTGACGTAGCGGGCGCCGGAAGCTTGGACTTCTTCAACGAGGTCGGCGGAACCGAGCTTGTCTTCGGTGAAGGAGTCGATGTCTGCGATGGGTTTGCAGCCCGTGCTCTGCCCTTGGTCAATTATGTTCAGTACAATATTCTCACATGACCTACCTTGCAAATGAACTCAATCTCATCTCGCTCAATGTCCTTGATAACGAGGATCTTGAGCTTCGACAAAAAGTGCAGACTGAGGTCGTTGACGGCATCGCGCAAAATAGACTTTTGGATGAAGAGGACATTGCACTTTGCCTTTTGGATCTTCTTGACCATGTTCAACAAATATGTGCGCTCCTCCTTCAGAATCTTGTCCATTTGCCTGTAGTCGTTGACGACGATCTGATTCTCCATGTCTGGCTTCGGCGGGCTGAGCTGGAACTGAATCAGACCTATCCGTGCCTTCTCCTTGAGTGTGGGGCCGCCCGCGCTCTTCACCACTGGCTGATTTAGCACCAGTCCATCAATCATCTCGCTGTCTTCAATTGTGCCGCCCGCCTTCTTGATCATCCTGATGTTCTTCAAATCCACGTTGTCGGCAGTCTTGGGGTCAATGATCTTGAGTACTGAATCCACGGCCATGATGGGCAGTTTTGGCTCTTGTGCGACAATCTTGGAGGAGAGGGCGGTGGTGGCGGTCTTGAGAAGGACCTGTCGATCTGTGAGGGAAACGGGTATGGCCATTCCGGTCAAGATGTTGATTGCCTCTTGTGCGGCTCTTTGGAAGGCCTCTGAGATGACTGTGGGGTGGATGCCCTTGGACAGTAACCGCTCAGCAGCACCCAACAGACTTCCTGCAATGACCACCACTGAAGTTGTACCATCTCCGGCCTCGATATCCTGTGCGTACGAAAGGTCGACGAGCATCTTTGCCGAAGGGTGCATGACGCTCATTTGCCTGAGCATGGTGGCTCCGTCGTTTGTGATGATGGTCTCGCCCTTGCCCGTTTGGATCTGTCCATGTCAGTTGATGTACGGATTGTGAGCCGTGTCTAAGATGTCTGCCATACCATTTTGTCCATACCCTTTGGTCCCAGCGACTTTCAAAAGTTAGCATCTTCGTCTCCCCGCACTCAAAGTGGGGACATACTGTTCTGATGGCATCGGCAACAGCTACACCATACGGATTAGCGGACACAATCTATATAAAGTAGAAAGCATGAAAGGGTCGCATACCTCTTGCAGCAATAATGTTGGCACTACGGACAGCTCTGGGCTTTTCCTTGTCCTGCAAGTCTGCGTCAGTCCATGTTTTCAGAGCTCAGATTTGGTGGGAAAAAATAGTACTTTGAACGCAGCATTTCCACCACCTCCGTTCGAGACTTGAGCTGCCATGTTCAGAAGTGTGTGGGAAGAAAAAGGGGCGAAAGGAGGGGTGTATGGGTGGGAGTGGGTGAATGTTGGTGGGGTGTTTGACACCCTTCGACGCGAAAGTGAACAATTTCCAAGTTCGCGATGCCCTGCCAAGGCTGCGGAGGGCGGAACACCTTAGCGCATCCATGTCCATGCCATCCACGGTATCCATCCATGCATTGCCTCACAGCTTCACCTGTTGATGACCACGCTAAACACGCCCACACGCCAACACCACCACACTCTGCCATCTCTTCTCAAAGCACCTCCACTCTCGCCACACGCCTCACCTCCAAACCACCCGTCTCAGCACAAACAGTCGGACTAGCATCGCACATCACGGTCGTCTACCGCCGCTGCCTTCGCCGTCATGCCCTCAGCCACGGGCCAGTCCTGGGAGAAGTACCAGAAGAACTTCGCCGATGATGAGGTAGAAGAGAAGAAGATCACACCGCTCACAGACGAGTAAGACAGCGCTGGCACCCTTTCATCAACGACGATGGCTAAGCAGGCAATAGAGATATCCAAGTACTCAAAACATATGGAGCCGCACCCTATGGCGCAGAGCTCAAGAAGCTCGAAAAGGAGATCAAGGATAAGCAGCAGACGATAAACGAGAAGATTGGTGTCAAAGTAATATATTCTTGCTGCGTCCAGCCCTTGAGTACGTGTGACTGACCTTCAAGTAGGAATCAGACACCGGTCTCGCGCCTCCACATCTCTGGGATATCGCTGCCGATCGGCAACGGATGCAAGAAGAGCAGCCCCTCCAAGTCGCCCGCTGCACCAAGATAATACAGGACGACAAAGACCCGGACAAGAGCAAATATGTCATCAACGTCAAGCAAATCGCCAAGTTCGTCGTCAACCTTGGAGAGCGCGTCTCGCCCACGGATATCGAGGAGGGCATGCGTGTGGGTGTCGACCGTAACAAGTACCAGATTATGCTGCCACTGCCACCCAAGATCGACCCCTCGGTCACCATGATGACGGTCGAGGACAAGCCTGATGTCACGTACGGAGACGTGGGAGGTTGCAAAGAGCAGATTGAGAAGCTACGAGAAGTCGTCGAGATGCCCTTGCTATCACCAGAACGCTTCGTCAATCTCGGTATCGATCCTCCCAAGGGGGCTCTTCTCTACGGTCCCCCAGGTACCGGAAAGACACTTTGTGCGCGAGCCGTGGCCAATCGCACAGACGCCACCTTCATCCGCGTCATCGGTTCGGAACTGGTACAAAAGTACGTCGGCGAGGGAGCACGCATGGTACGAGAGCTGTTCGAGATGGCACGGACAAAGAAGGCCTGTATCATCTTCTTTGACGAAATCGACGCTGTAGGCGGTGCCCGTTTCGACGACGGAGCTGGAGGCGACAATGAAGTACAACGTACCATGCTGGAGCTCATCACCCAGCTCGATGGTTTTGACGCGCGTGGAAATATCAAGGTAATGTTCGCTACCAACCGGCCCTCGACGCTCGACCCTGCGCTCATGCGTCCCGGCCGTATCGACCGGAAAATTGAATTCTCCCTGCCGGACATGGAGGGCCGCGCAAATATCCTCCGTATCCACGCCAAGAGCATGAGCGTCGAGCGCGATATTCGTTGGGAGCTCATTTCGCGTCTCTGCCCGAACAGCACGGGTGCAGAGCTGAGGAGTGTGGCTACGGAAGCGGGAATCTTTGCCGTGCGGCAGCGTCGCAAAGTCGCGACAGAAAAGGACTTTCTCGCCGCTGTGGACAAGGTGATCAAAGCCAACATGAAGTTCAACAGCACTGCAGTGTACGCTCAGTATAATTAAGCATGGCTGGGATGATTAAGTTTAGGTGGCTTTTGAATGGGGATACCTTGGGCGACAGGGGAGGAGGTGTGTTGGGCTGTATGAGTAGTGATGGTGGTAGTGGTAGTGGTAGTCAGTCAAACCAACACCATCATCCATCATCCAAACGATGTCGATATGAAGAACAAGACGTTTGCATACATGTAAGCCCGTGTAATACATGTTACAATGCATCTATCAACTCGTATTCATCCACCCTAATCCTATATACACTCATCCCACATGAACAATGACACACGTTGGTTTTCCTGCCCACCATATCCCCCTACACAACCCACTAGATGCACAAACCGTGGAATGAAAACAACAACAACAACAACAACAACAACAACACTGGATATGGACGTAACATTGGTGGTGTAGATTAAAAGAAGGATAAAACCAGTATCTAAACTATTTGAACAGGGAAAAAAAAGGGGGTACGACGGCCCTCCGCTTGATGCCCTACCCCGAATGAAAGAAAAAGAGGATGAAGATTCCAAGTCGCATGTTTCCCTCCCCTCTACCCACGATGCAAAATCGTATCCAGCGGATTCTTCTTCTGGCCCTCGATAGCAATCCGCTGCCTCTCCCTCTGCTTGCGACTGAGCACGCCTTTGGCCTTGAGACCCTTTTCCTTGCTCCACTTGCGCAGCGCCTCCTCGGTCATTTCCTGGCGCAGAATCTGCTCGACAACGAGCTTCTTGCGGCTGCGCTTGTCGCCGCAGCCAATGAGGATGCCGGCGGTGATGTTGCAGGTGAGGCTGAAGGAGAGGATAATGGCCGTGAGTTCCTTGGGTCGGTCCTTGTAGTAGATGCCCCATGTGGTGGCGCCGAGGGCGCACTGGAACATGGAGTGGCAGTCTAGCAGGACGATGATGGTGATGAGGAGGCGGATGGAGAAGGCGTGGTGGGTGTAGGTTTCGTGGGGGCGGTAAAACGTGTGGGATTTTGCCAGTTTGGCCTGGTGGTGTTCTAGCTTTTTTTGCTCGGGCGCACTGAGGACGGGGACTTCGAGGCCTTGGTCTTCGGCTTCGCCTGTTTCCCAGGCGGATGACTGCGGCATGCTCGGTAGTTCGTTGTGGTCTTTTAGGGCGCCGAGGCCGCGTTCTTTGCGCAGCCGCCAGGTGCGGTGGGCGTAGTAGGCGACAAAGGACATGTGGTAGGTGTCTACGATGCGGAAGGGGAACATGGGGATGCCTACGGCGCAGAAGAGAGCCGTGAGGATCTGGTCGGCGATTTCGACAAAGTAGTCTTGTCGGCCGCCCACGTAGATCCAGCCGATGAGGAAGAGAACCCATGCGGCGCCCCAAAAGGTGATGAGGAAGAAGTAGAGGGTTACGATGAAGCCAAGTGGGTTGCGCATGTAGCGTCCAAAGCCGCGCATTGTGCGTTTGAATTGTGCGCGTTTGGAGTGCAGAAGGTGGCGTACATGGTCGTCCAGCGCGGCCTTTTCTTCGTCGCTCCAGCCTTGGAGGGAGGCGCCGTGGGGGAGGACGGCGTAGTGGTGACCGGGACCTTCGTCCATGGTGGAGAGGATCGAGTCAATGGTGTTTGTACGGGAGAGGCGTGCTCGGGCGCCTTGTTCGGCCTCGTCCGGCTCGGTCCTGTCTTGGAGTTGTCCTCCCCCCCCTCGGGCATCACCTACCGTGCCCAGTTCTTCGTCAGACGAAGAGCTGGTTGGTGATTGAGCAAGGTCGTATGTAGGTTGGCGATTGTAGAGCCATGGAAGGTTGGGGAGGAAGAGCGAGTTTTGGACATTGTTCAATGTGGTGAGGGTTGATATCTCAGGATCTGCATAGACATGTTAGTCACTGCGCGTTGTGTAGCTGACAGAATTGCACCTACCTATGACATCGAGCACGTCGACGACACTGTGACCCATGGTATTCTCATGGGCATGCTGAGACTTGTGGTCCTTTCGCCGGATGTTGATGGCAGATAGCTGTCGATCTAGGGGCATGCGCCTCGGACGGGGTCCCCGCGCCGGTGGTGGGGCCTGTCCTGGTATGAGGTTTCCTGCACTCGATCTCTCCTCGTACAGAGGCTGTAGCACGGGATGCGAGGCCGTGACCTGCCGCCGTAAGGGATCATCGTGGAATATGGCTGTCGAGGGCGGTCGCGGCTCTGAACTACTTCGTCTGCGGCCGGCCTGTATGGTGTCTTCAGGCGATAAGGTAGCAGATGGTGTTGGCTCAGGGTGCGGATGAGGAAGACCTTCGCCACTTGCTGGCCGTCGAATTCGGATCGCAGGACTAGCCGTTCTCGACGAGTTTGCAGTGGGCGGGTTCGGCGATATGCGACCGGTCGCAGGCATGTGCGCAGTGGTAGTCAATGTGGGAGATGTGAAGGTAGTTGATTGCGCGCCATAGTCGGTGTGGACAGTTCCATGTCCATCCGTGGTGGTGGTGGTGGTGGTGGTGGTGCCCTGTGGTCCATGAACGGTGGTGGTGGTGGTGGTGGTGGTATCGGACGATGACGGCAGAGGAGGAGGCTCTTGTTGTTCATGATGATGATGATGATGCTGATGGACCCGCTCATGGCTTGCCCTGTGGTTCTCCATGGCCTTACCAGCGACTACGCGACTCGTGGGTCGAACAACAACAGCTCCAATTCAAGAATTAAGATATCCCACCGAGAGGGTCTGAGGTTGCACCACGCGCAGAGCCGGGAGGGAGGGATATCAGTAGCAGCAGCAGCAGCAGCAGCGGCGGCAGTAGCAGCTAGCCGTTGGTCATCAATACTAAACATATAAAACTTTCTCTGGCGCCCGGTTGTGGCAAGGAGGCCGCTTTAGCCGTGCTTCACTGGCCCAGGGCCGCATCTCGAGCGCAAGAGTTGGTCCATCCAAAGTCATGTGGTTCGCGGGTAAGGCTTCCGCTGTGGGCGCTCTCGGCTCCCTGCCAGCACTGATGCCGCCATGACCCGGCTTGGTCGAGGATCCGGGGTGCCGGACGTGGACAATTATTGGATTCCGTCCTTTGCCAGAGACTTGTAGAGTAGATGTTTCCGGCTTCCTCTTGGAGGGGGGGGGGTTGGGGTTGGGGCTGAAGTCGTGTCACAGTTACTACTGCACGTACCTACACCGTATTAGAGCACACAACAAGAGACTATCCAGCCAACCCAAAGCCCTGATGCGTTTTCCGCTCGGGGGCTCCATGTGCAGATTGCCAGGGAGAACATGCTTGTAAGCGAAACAGGAGGCTCCTGGCAGTCCAAGCACACCTTTGGAAGCTCGCCCTTTTCATGGTACATCTAGTAGTAAACCCATGAAGAACTAGAGTAACTGTCCCACCCAGGCACAAAATACACTGCCTGATGCACGGTACCTACATACTATTAACACTACTTTGGGAGGCTTGCGAGCTGCCTCCTACTAGAGTAGAGACCACCCATGTTACTGTACGCTTGTCGGCTTGGCTGTCACTGACGTAGCCACCTGACTAGCCTATCCCCCCCCCGGCTTTGTTGTTGCAGGTACGTACCTACCTTGCTCTGGCTGGCTGGCTGGCTGGCTAGCTGACGGTCGGCTGAGCTTTCTGTCTCGTGTCTGACCACTTTTTTCTTCTTTTCTTTTCCTTTTGCTCGACGGGACATGCACAGTCCTGTTGTTCTCCATTACTATACTCATCATCACCAACCTCGACATCAGCATGAAGGCTGCTCGTGCCTTTTGGCCGGCCTTCCTGGCCGTCACTCGCGCTGGCGCGATGCCACCACAGCCCCACGGTCAGGCGGTGCTCGATGCCACTTCTGATCTCCCTGTCCACTCTCTGGGCGTGGGCCACTTCAGCGAGTGGAGTCGCGCAACGAAGAAGCAGTTCCTCATCGACTGGCAAGCCGGCAATGCCTCACAATGGATCATCGTTCAGGGCAACGAAGGCGGTGACCTCGACAGCATGACGGCCGCCCTCACTTGGGCATACCATCTCGGGCACTCGACTGAAAATACCTCGCATCCCATCAAGGCCATTGCCTTGCTACCAACCCCGTCGCATGCCCTCGATCTTCGGCCAGAGAACAAACTGGCCCCTAGGGGCTCCCGGATGACACCCGGCC